TCTGCCATCTGTCATGGCAGGATTCAAGCCAGGTCCCAAGAACATTACCTGGGTCTCTGGATTAATAATCTGGTGATAATACCATGAGGCCATCACTTATCCCTAAACTTCTTTGAGAGAGTGCAGTGAAAAGTTTTACATTCAACAGACAGGACAGAAGAAGCCTCCGTTTAATATTTTCTCAAAAAGATGGCATCTCTGATAGTGCTGTGGTCCCAAAGTTCTGCACTGCAGTGTCAGTTTTGATTGTCAGTTCAGGTCCTGGAATGTAACCTGAAACACAAAATGCTGTTTCAGAAGTGACAGGACTTTAAACTGAGCCCCAGTGAATACAGCACTGAAAGTTTCTATGCAGAGGTATGCTTCTTTGTCAAAAATATTTCTTAGAATTTCAGATCCAAATCTTCAGATTCCGGCTCTTCAAGTGGATGTGTAAATTTCCACAGTGTGATTACAAATTCTGCAAATGTTCTGGCATCATTTAAAATTCTTAGCCATGTCAACATTGCAGTCTCAAATAATATCTGCAGCTAACAAAATAGTCATTTTGTTACTCTTAATGAGATATGCTTGAGTCAGGATGTAAAGCTGTTGTCAAAACATACTACGAAGAGCTTTTCAATTCTTCGATGACATAATAATGTGTTCTATCATTTGGTTCAGTATCTTCTCTAGACCCTGAGGTTTACTTTTGTTGTACAGAAATAAAGTGAGCATGTAGAAATAAATAGAAAAAAAAGTCATCATTCTAAACATGAGGTGCTAGATTTAACCCTCATCTGCTGACAGGTTGAAAGATGAGGAGACTATAACCCTGCAGGTGGCCTACATGCTTCCTACCTGACTGTTCCTGTCCCCATTGCAAGGTCACCCATAGGGATTTTTAACTAAAGACAATCAATGCCCATCTAGAGGTCTCCATCCCTCTGCCTCAGGGATTCAACCATTAATGGGAAGGACCTACATCAATTAGCCTGGCTACCAGATTTCACTGCCACTGAGGCCATCAGAGGCCTCTCCGCTAGGCAGGGGTGTACTCCTCCCTAAGTTGTCCTATTCCATGACCTTTCAAACACCGGCTCCGGACATCTTTCATCTCCTTCCATGGGGCCTTCCAGCTGGTAACCAGCAAGGCCCCAAATACTTACTCAAATCTCCCACACACCTTTATCCTGATATTGGAAAACTGTTGGCCTGTTATTGGCTGCCACCTCTGAAAGGTGAGACTTTTTGATCCAGAAGATCAGAGATCCCACCTCCAGCCTCATAGGGATCAAGTGGCCATCAAATAGCTGTGGGCAGCTGGTATTCCCAATGGTGGACTCTCTCCCCTGACTTGCTACTCAGTGAAGCGAGTATCTAGCACCTAGTATAGTTCAGTCCCCAGTTTATGACTTCATTTTTAGAGGAATTGCTGGTCATAAAAAGTCCTCTCTATTCTTTAGTCAGAAGTGCCACACAGAAGTCCCATCAAATAAATGGTTGAGCAATTGAATGACAGCTGGAAAATTCCAAGTTCACTTCTTACCTTGGGTAAAATCAGGTGTTGGAGCAACATGATGAGCCTTCGTATCCTGAACTAATGAAGAAGAGATCAGCCAAGTTATATCAGACCAATTATTGTAAAGCGCACATGTAGTCTATGGGAAAGGTTTAAAACATTCCATAACACCTCTAACTAGTGCTTTGTGACTGGTGGATAGGTTTTATGGAAACAGGAAGTGGGATATTCGCCACAGAATTCCCAGACGCTAGAGTGGCCTTGTAACCACTGTATTTGAATGCCTAGTCTAGTTCAGTTTCTGGTCAATGGTAATTCCAAAGATATTGCTAATGGAAGATTCAGCATTGTTAATGCCATAGAATGTCAAGGAGCAATGGTTAGATTTTCTCTTGTTAGAGATAGTCATTGCCTAGCACTTGCATGGTATTAATGTTACTTCCTACTTTTCAGTCCAAGCCTGGATGTTGTCGAGGATATTTGTGGAGGTTGCTCATGCACACACAAAAAACAACTTAATAACTCAAAAAATAAATCTCTAAATAGCAATTCAGTGCTATAAACAAACAATTATTCGATAATCAGATCAAAGACAGATACTTTTAAATAACTCCTTGTTTTAAAAAAAAACTGTCCAACTGTATGCATAATCCTCAAGTTTTGTGGTTCAATAACATTCAAAACTTAGCCAAGGATTTATAACAGGCTTAATTATCAAAATAAACCATGACAGCAACAAACAGAGCTGACTGAAAGATCAGATAACTCAGTTTTTTTTATTGAAATAGCACCAAAAGGCCTTCATTCAATGAATTCCAGGAGCAGATGGCTGTTTGTTTTCAAAGCTAAAGCAGCAGAACATTTGTTTTCATGAAAAATGAAAGTACTCAAGAAAGTAAAATACTTCAGGTTGTCATACTAAATTTCAGAAGCACTGTTTTTTTTTTAATGTTGAGTGCATAGTAGCACATTTTCCAAGAGAGAAATATATTCAAAAGCATCTCAACTGTTACACAATGCTGGCCAATGTAATAGTGAACTTCCCTTCTCGGCATAGAGCCACCACGCTGGCAGCATGCTCCTTAGTCCACAGCAGACTTCTATCAAGTTTCCTCAAGTTTTAAACAAGACAGGTTTTCAGAGGCATCCTAAATCCACCCAACACAGCAACAATAACAGCGGATCAGAAGTACAAATGTCCCCTCAGACTGTTAATAGTGGCCTCGACATCAGAGGACATGTGTGCAAGATTGTGACTTCTTATTTGTATTCCTCCATATCTATGGGAAGATTGTTTGGTCCTATGTTAATATAGGAAATTTAAACTCCCAGCAGTGGCCACTGTACCAGGTGGCACTGCTGAGCTGAGAACCTGCCAGCCAATGGGAGGGCCAGCAACTCTTGAAGATAATCTTCCCTTTTTCAAACAGGTACAGGAGGTCCACAACAGCAGCTCATTAGCAGATCTCCCAAGTGGCTGAAGTCAAGTTGTCCAAGCTTACCAGTCTGTTTTAGTCGCTCCAGTGCACAGCCCTGTTTGCATTATTCAGATCCAGTAATGAGCCTATTTATAAATAGCAATGCTATAGCAATAGCAATAAATAGCAATGCCTCTTTCTAATTAGTTTTCATTTGTCTAGAAGCTACCCAATATCAAACATCAGATTTACTCCCCACAGACTGAAATGCACTAAAATCAATCACAGAACACAAATTATTCTTAAAACGAGCAGGAGAAAATAGTAGAAACTCCTGAAAGATCTCCAATAGAAAAAGTGGTCCAATCTGTTTAGCAAAAGTTCTTCCCAATTTCTCATTTGTTGGTCCATGAAGAACAGAATGCAGTATTAACATCTGTCAAATCGAAGCTTTAGTTTCAGAGATCCCCAGTGATCTCAAACCTTCATGTATTTGAACATATTTCAGACTCCGTGGGTGGAACACTGCTGAGAGTGGTGCTAACCTAACATCAGGCTGATTTCTGAGACTTGAGCCCACCCGTTGAAGCAGCATGGTATCAGGTGAAATTTTATAATAAGCAATGAAGTAGCAGCCACCTCTGCATTCATCATTCATGTAGAGATGGTGAATGGGAGATGGAGACACTATGGCACATTACAAGGCTGGTATCACCAGGAGGAGCTTTGCTCATGTTCAAACAATCAAATCTGCCCTGATGCAATATAGATGCCATCGCTCTCAAGGATTGCCTGTGAATGCACAAGTCCAACACTATCAGCGACATCACAAAATATCCTCATTAAATACAAACCTCTGTCATGGGAATACATCAAATCTTGCCATTTTCTGGTGTTAAATATTGAAAATATCTTGAAGGTTCATCAGTTCCAACATCCCAATGTGCAGCTGCATCACCTTTGTTGCCAGAGTACTAACCCAGCAGACAGTCCATGACACCTGGTGAAATTGTCTTGCTGTCAGTGAAATGCTGGTAACTTGACTCACAATAGCATTAATTTTTGTTTCACACCACAAATGCGTGGGTTTCTAGCATCGGCCTCAGACATTCATTGCGAAAAGCTGCTAGAGGTGAAACATGTTAACAGACCAGCCCGATATATTCATTTTGAGAATTCCCTTCCACATCTTTTCCCATCACCTCCTGCTAAATGATGAGCAGTCTTCGAGTGGTGCGACACTTTCAAGATGGGCAAGTTAAACATTCAAGGTAAATAAATACCACAGATTCAGGTAACATTATTGTAATGCTGTGAAGACAAATGCATGGACAGCTCACAAGAAGATAAACTGCGATGATCTGGAACTCCAGTTACTTTATTGTCATATCAGCCTATCAGTTCCATTTTCTGGATACAAATTTCTCAATACAAATCAACACAGAAAACAGTTATGCTTGATTTCAATTGAGCAAGTTCTTATGAACAATATTCCTACCGTAAATAGTGATTAATTGTGCCAAACACAGTCACAAATTCACATTTCCAACACTACCAACCTTGTACGTTCAGAATTGGATCCTTTTGAGGTTCAGACTATAGTTTGAAATATCAGCAAAACACTTAATTCTCAATTGCTTATAACTGGCATTTAGAAAAAAAGAAATTCTCACAAATTTCAAGTTTTTTTTTTACCTTTGGTAAACCTGAATGTATGACACATATTTCTATGGAAACTGACTGTTCTAAAATTATTGTAGTGTAATGATAAGTACTCAACATACACATTTTAAAAGGGACAAGGTTAACTAATGGTTCCACTAAGCTTGCATTAGACCTACCTTTATTCCATCAGATTCAAAGTGTGAAAATACAATAAATTAAAATTCCAGATAAGGAGTCAATTAAAGTGTATTTCATTGTAATACAAGCCAACTGACTGGAAATTGACTTACTCAGTGACTTCTTTTAACTTGAAGATTACATGTGTTTCTTGAAAGACAAGAGTTAAGAGAAGTGCATTCTACATTCAGATTTACATGCAAAATTTCTAAAGATATCCACACAAAATCAAAACATACCTTGTCTGGATTCTTCAACCGTTTGCATGGTATCTTTCTTATGACTGTTGTAATTCATCCTTAACTCCTTGTTGAATTCATGAAGTGTTTCTCTAGAATTATAGGACTTGTGGGGGCTTCTGCCATCTTCACTTTCATCTGAAGAACTAGTATATGCCAATTCCATCTCACACCTAACTTTTGACAGTGGTTGATAAGGTTTACAATCCATCTGATCCATTCCTTGTAAAGCTGGTGGACGTACATTAAAACAGGGCGTTCAAAATGTTTAATTGAAAATAACCTGCAGAGAGAGAAAAAAAAGGCCTAATAAAATTACATTTCCTGTTTGTTAAATGCTCAAAGAGACAGGTAAGTAGAGCGATGGGTAGGACAGAAACATGCCTAAAATCACACCATCTCAGGAACATTACATACATTTCATATTCTAAAATCTGACAGAACCATAAATTTCTAGAGCACAAAAGGACACCATTCAGTGCAAAATATTTTTGCAGGTTGATTGAAAGAGGTATCCGCCATTTAGTTTCATTCTCCTCTATTGTCCTTTCAAAAACTGTTCTGGATCTGTCACACATTCATATCCTAACAACAGTTTCTGGAAAAAAATAAGTCCAGAAGAAGGGTAATACCCGAAACGTTGATTGCTCCTTTCCTCCAGATGCTGCCTGGCCTGCTGTATTCTTCCAGCCTCCTGCTTGTCTACCTTGGATTCCAGCATCTGCAGTTTTTTTGTCTCCCCCAACATCTCCCTTTATTCTTTTGTTGATGATATTAAAATTTGCAAAGTCTAATCATAAACCCAGTGGTCAATGAAAATTATATGATTTCCCTTTTGCCCTGTCAAGTCTCTTTATCATAACACCTCCAGATGTAATAAAAACAGGCCCAGTCTCTGCATATAACTGAAGGTCTCATCCCTGATATTGCATTAATAAACCTCTTACGCAGTCTCCTTATGGCCTTGATGCCCTTAGAAAATAGGACAACAAAACTGGATTCTACATTTTAAATATGTTTAAGTATAGGTTTGTATAGGTTAAACCTACTTTCGTTTTGTAAACTACATTTCTTTTTATAAAATCTAAGAACCCATTTCCTTTCATTTATTGTTTTATGGAAACAATCATACCATTTTGCAAAATTTTCCATTTCAACCATTAAGTTTATCTTTTCTGCTCTTTATAATGCTTTACAATGAAGAGTGCAAGTTCTTATTCTTTTTATCCTACTTCTGAATCCATAAACTCACATTTCTCTGCATCGCTTTTCCTACAATACTCAACTCCTCAATCTAATAAGTTTTTATGGCACCTGAAGATATTTACATTCATCATATCTTCTATTTTTATGTAACTGACAATTTGATAATGCAGCCTCTGCACCCAAGACCAGATAACATTTATATATTGAAATGTGCAATAGTTTTGACACTTGAATTCTGGGTTCAGCACTGTTTACTGGCTTTGGCTTGAAAGCTGTCACTGACCTTTCATCCTATCTGCTCTTCAATTCATTTCCAATTTTTATTGTCACATTCCTTCGATACTTGAGACAGAAATTTGTTCAGACCAGCTTGTCAAACTATTCCCATTTTCAAAGTCAAGGCCCAAGGTTAACCTGTAAGGCTTTGGCCCCTATTTAGTTTAGACCAGTGAACTACAGGCATTGACTGGACAGCCTCAGAAAGGTCACTGGTGAAGAGATTTGGAACAAAGCGTTAATATGTCACCAGGCATAGCTTGAGAAAGATTGTGAGGAATCTTATAGATGTCTGAGTGATGCATACTATTGAGAAATTTGTGGCAGAGTAAGATGAGAAGTCCAGCAAGACTGATCATGATGTTGAAAGTATTTTGTTTCACCTTTTATGCATTTGATAAACAGTGAGGTGAGCTTGTCACTAGGCAGTTGCTGGCTGCCAATTAAAAAGGGTTAAATGTCACATTGATGACCCAACTCACCTCAGTAAGATACACCTTTCTTTCATATCAAGCAAGCCAGACATTGAGAATTCTCAATAGAAGTAAGTGTGTACGTGGCAAATTCAGCTCACCACTTGCTCTAAAGAACCTCCAAGTCAGCCACTGAACACCAACATGTAAGGCGGCATGGGTACTGACTACACACAATCTACCTCCACGGTCATTGCCATCTGATATGTACCAGTCTCTAAGAACCCTCATGGCACATTTCTGATTCACTTACAGGATGCTCCTGCACATCAACGCTGCACCAATGGCTATCATTGTAATGCTGTAGCAAGGGCATTGTGCACTCAGGGACTGAACCAGACTGCATCTCCAAGCTCTCCTCACTGTCACAGCACTCACTTACTCTGAGCTTACCTGAATGCTTAAGGCATCCCTGTCTTGCACTGCATAACTTTCTGTGTTTTATTCCCTCAGCCAGAGATGAGCCTCCTATAAATGGTAAGATAAGACCGACGTAATGTAAACACAAAGGAAGGAACCTGGTCATGGCTGTTGGCAGGCCCAGTCAAGTCAAAGGGGAATTACTCATGGTCAGGGGCTCTCCACACCACAAGTCAAGGGCATCCTCCAATCCAGTCCAAGGCTTTGGACACACTCTGTCAACTGCTCAGGATGGTCAGTCAGAATTCATTTCACACAAAGGCCAAGGACCCAAATATTGGGCATCCCACCCTTGATTGCAAGTCTATCTTAAGGAGACTTCAAATACACATAATACTCTAGGCATGGTCTCACCAAGGCCCTGTACAGCTGCGGTAGTGACAGAATGACAGTCAACTCTATCTTGACTGTCTTGAACTTTATTTCACGCACAGCATTACTTGAAAAAAATACACAAGTATAAAAATAAAGACAAATTATTCCCCAATATTACTTAGCTTCTGGACCAAATCTTTCAAAATCTTACAATAATGTTTGCTGAAAATCAAATAATACATAAATGAATAACACACTGTGTCATTGAAAACTGTTGCAATATATCACAGAGCGCTTATGTGTAACTGAATTGCGATCATGATGTTACACATGGATTATACGGCATTACTGAACAAGATTCCATTTGCTTCCTCCCTATTATTTCAGCTGTAGTTAGGCACTGTTACAATGGAATTGTAAATCTGCATCCTACAAAGCTAAACCTCCACATAGCACATCCTCCTTCATGAGGAAAGGAACTAACATTCAGACCTAATTTGACAAAACTCTATCAAAATGTGGTCCGCATATTCCAAAACAACCCAATTCCAGAAAGCTAAATTAGCCCTCAATTCTGAAAAATATGTCCCTTTTTCTAAAGGTCTATGCAAAAAGATTTGCTGATCAATATCAGGGAGCGAGTGTCAGCAGAATGAATAAGGTTCTTCAGACATTGAATTCAGTGACCTTTGAATGAGTTCATTTAATGTTTCTTGTGCACAAAAGGCATTTTTTGTGACTTTTCAGTCATATCCCTGACAAGAACTAAATTTCTGCTCAGAACTCTGCACATTACTGCAAAGATGAAATTATTGTCTGCCAGGTACCATGCACCTTGGCAATCACTCAAAAATTTTGTCATTGTAACCCTAACAATCTGTGTAATAGAACTTGTCTGAATTATTTTCCTCGAAGTGTGGTGTGTTGTAAAATATCAGCGTATCAGTGTTGAGGATAGTTATGTAAAGAAGCCCAAGGACTGCACTTCATGCCAGGGGGTCGAACCTACCCACTGGGCAGTTCCACATTTAAAATGTTTCTCTACGTTTTCACCTTTTAAGGATAAGTACCTGTATTTCCATCCAGCTAGAACAACAAAATAGAGAGAGTTAATTCCCAGTTCCTACTTTTCACAATTAAAGTGAACAATGTCAATTATTAACACACTTGAACAGAAATCCCACCCATGCGTGAGTCTCTCTCAAGATGTAACCTAATAATGGAAAATGCCTGACAGAGATAAATGAATTCAAGTGATAGACATCTCCAGGGTTCAAGCCCAGAAAGCAATCGCGGTTTGTAAATCATCTGATTTGGAATTGCTTACTAAATTAAATAATTTTGGTACTCAACATTTCTCATTGGTGAAATTTATTCAGGTATGGGAATTGGGACTAATTTGTTCCTCATTCAGGCTTCAGAAACGTTACCATTTAATGCTTTCAAAACTGCACATATTAATAATGATTTCCTGTATAGCTCCTCCTGTACTGAGTAGAAATAAATTTGAAAATCAATTTCACATGAATCTGAAGTAGAGAATGCCAATTCCTGACAATAATACTAGTAAGGCTGCTCACTAATAAGCTTAACGTCTTGAGAGATTTAGGTTGCCCTAGAAGTCAGAGTATTCGGAACTTCAAAAAGTAAAGGCTAAACCATTTTACTGGGATGTTCTGGCCTCTGGTCATAATTTCTGTGCAAAAGTTATGAAACCTTCTTTAAAATTGCAAAACAAAACAAAAAAAAGGGTCATTTTTAGCTATTTACATCATCTCTCAGGAAGGGGCTCCTGAACTCCTGTTAGAGTTATGACAGTAGACCAAGACAACACATGGAACCTGAAGGCAGTTACTTTTACACCTGACAATCTACACTTCTAAGAATTTTCCTACCTAGCTCTATCCTTAAATCAAAAGAAGTTGCCTGGTGGTCAGACATGGCGAAACTGGCAAGTTCCTGCTCCCCGGATCGGGACTATCTGACACTGAAGTGCAGTGTTTATTACCGTGCGAGTTCACATCTGTTATCCTGACGGCAGTCTGCATAGCACCCCATGAGGAAGGGAAGACTGTTCTTGATGAAATGTACACAGCTACAAAAGGAGTTGAGGCTTTATAACCAGAGGCCTTAATCATCGTAGCTGGTGATTTCAACCAGGCCAACCTCAAAAGTATGCTACCAAAATACCATCCACACATTTCCTGTCCCAGAGTGCCAAACATCCTTGACCGTTGCTACACAAACAAAGATACCTACCGCTCCATTCCCCGCCCGCACTTTGGAAAATCAGATCACAATGCTGTGTTCCTTCTCCTGGCTTACAAGCAGAAATGGAAACATGAGGACTCAGCAGAGAAAGTAGTACAGTGCTGATCTGAGGCAGTGGATGAGCTTCTACAAGACTACTTACAATTGGTGCACTGGTCCACATTGAAGAACTCAGCGGTCAACCTAGATGAGCATGTCACTAACATTGCAGACTTCATTAACAAGTACGTAGAAGACTGTGTGCCAAAGAAGTCAATGTGAATATTCCCCAACCGGAAACCATAGATGGGCAGAGGATGGCATGGATGCCATGGATGGCAGA